AAGGGGCACACTCATTGGATAGATTAATTTGCTACTTTCCCAAGTAATATCAAATTTATTGTGATAGGTTCACCAATCACTAGAAGTTACAGAGCCCCAGTGTTCTCTATAATGCCCTAGCAGTCCTTTCCCATCAACCTGGGGAGGTCTAAAGTGAAGAAAGAAAGCTGAAGCTTGTGTTTCCAGGTCCTTCCAAGGTTACAGAGAAGCTCTCTTCAGCAAACCCCTGAAATGGATTTGAAAACATGAACAAGGTGAACATGATCCATCCCAATATCTGTGTGCCCCTGTGTGTGTACAAGCAAGATCTTTAAAGTTGTGAAACAACCACATTATTTAAATATATTCATTTAAATACTTTCTGTCCTGCCTTTCTACACTGAAGAATAATCAAGATGCCTCACAGTAAAAATTATTACAGAAAATAGCATACAGTTAGAGCAGATCAACAGACCACAAGTTATAGCTAATTTAAGTGCCATTGTTTTCAATGGATCTATGCTAATAATATCCAAGTCTGCATCCACTTCACTAACATAAATATAACACAAAAATAAAACTGTAAAAAGCAGCAGCAAATTAGATCAAATTAGGGAGCATGCCCACTGGAATAAAATCATCTTCTGCACATACTTGTGAAGGGACAACATTCATACTGCCACAGAAATTTGGGCTGAGGCTGCATTGTCATTAGGGATGGATGTCAGTTTTGCTTCCACCCATGCATTTGTGTTTTAGAAAAAAGAATTTCAAGTTCTTTCTGGCCTGAAAATGAAGAATTTTGCAAATGTTATAAATCCTCATCAAAAATGAACTAAATTCTGTACCAGCTAAACTTAGGTGGTAGGTACAGCTATTACTATTGTTTCTGCCTGTCATATTAGACAAGGAGCCCATCGGAACAAAGAAAAAGTGGCCATCCAATTTCAGTAGTAACACATTCATATACACAAGCATTCAAATACTCCCAGATTGTTAAGAGTTAAGCAATCATCCTGGATGGACAAATTTGTCAATTTCACTGTCTCTTGATATCAGTGCTTTAAATCTCCATGGCCAATGTGAAGAAACTTGTAAATTTTGTAAATTCTGATTAAAAAGTAAACAGAAATGTAAGTCACACCCATCTCTAACTGTCATTAAAATGCAGCAATGGTCTAACGGGATCTTCTGAAAGAGTCAGTGTCCATAAAAGCCTATGCTAGAATATAATGCAGAGAGAACTGCATGGCTGCTTCTCCAAGACTGTAAAATGACTTTTTAGGGGAAGAGGCTAGTACTGCAAGATATGACATATCCTGGAGGTATCAGCTCCCTTCCCTCCTCCAAAGTGCCATAGTTAGTTGGTTGATATCAGCCACCTAGCTGCTTAGCAGAATGGGCATGCCTATAACCTTCCACATTCATAGGGCTATGGACATCCCCACTGGAGAGCACTTGTCTGTTTCAAACTTCTGTTTTAAAGCAGCAGTTTAAGGTTTTTTTAGAGCAGAGAAAATGGGTATTGTGAAAGCTAAAGAAACTGTTTTTTTCTCTTGTGTAATTCTACTATTACACTATGCCACAATGCTACCTACAGGTTATGTAGTGGAAAAGCAGAAAAGGAAACACTCTTTTGCAGTGCTTCGATCTCAGTTCTGACAAAAAGCCAAAAGTAGACACAATGGATTAACAGCCTTATGCACTACAGCTTTTTGTTGTTGTTGTCAGTCACGAAGTTGTGTCCGAGTCATCGCGACCCAGCTTTTTACAATGCCATAAAACTTTGTGCTGTTTTTTCTTCCTTAAGCTCTGCCACAGAGCAATCTGTTCTAGCACTTATGTTCTACTTAAACACACACACACACACACAATTCCACTAAAACTAGATGAGTACTGTCCATTTCATTTGTGTCTGTTGACAAGTTTTAAGATCCAGTCTGGAACAAAATCTTGCAAGCCCCAAACAAGAGGCTGGTCCCTCAACTTGGTGTGTGATAAGATAGATTTTTATCTGAAATTAATGAATTTGCTTGTCTTATTTGGGAACTGATGACTATACATATATGCCATATATTGGAGCTCAGGTCGGATCAACTTTTTGCAAGTGTTCAGTGTCTTACTGTCTAAATCTTGCCTGAGGTTATAGCCCAGGATTTTTGCATGACCTGACTGGTAGGGCTTCAGTTTCTTGTCTTTGATTTTGGTTTCATCTATTGCTTTTTTCTCCAAGAGGCATACCTCCACTAGTTCCTTCTGTCTCTTCTGCAGAAGGTCAACTTCTTTGTACAAAGTCTTTAAGTCCATCCTGTCCAAAATCTTAATCCAGAAGGTGTCATTGAAGTGCTTGTAAAGGTTCCAGTCCAATGCACACCATTCTTTCACTTTTTCCTTGCTGTCTGAATTTAAAGCCTGGATACTGTCTAGACTCCGGGCATTCAGCTTGATATAAACCACGTCATCCAAATCCCAGCACAAAGTATCCTTCAGAAGGATCATGGACTCATCGAAGTATTCAGCAATCAGCATCAAATGGAAATTCTGCTCAATCTCCTCTATTACAGACTGGACATGATACTCATCATATGGCATATTGTTGTCATAGCCCAAGTCAAACCACATGTTGTTCTTGGCATATATATTACTGTCCTTTTCATCAAGCTTGTAGTATGACCATGGCGATGAGAGAAACTCATTCACATTCTTGGAGTTTCTAAATGCTGGTGAATATGTTTTGTAATAAACATAGGATGATTCAAGCAACGAGGCTGGGTCCCTCAGGATTGAAAAATAAAAAGTGTCATCCGGCATTACTCTTCTTACCTTTTAAATAAAAACAGTACAGAATAAGTATAGCCTCGGTGAAATGACAAAGAGTTCCTGCATTCCAGAAAGATGCCTGCTATGTATCTTGAAATTCTCAGCAAGATATTGCAAAGTTAAGACAATTTTTGGGTCACCTGTACTTGGCAGAATGTAGAGCTTCTACTTTCTCATCTTATTGCAAACTCAGACATTTTAGCCCTAGTGGGAAAAACTGTTTTGCTCAACTGGGGTTATCTTGATGGAAACACAATCTAGTCCTCTAGGCTTGTACACACTCCTTTCCTACTCCAGTGCAATCACAAAAAAGGGATTTTCGAAAGAACATATATGTCCCTGTGGAAAAAAGAAAGCATGGGGAGCCCTGCCAAAAAAACCCTTTTGACTGGGCTGTGGATAGAACAACCTCTAAAACAAGCCATGAGTTGTGGGAGTAGTTTGTTACAATGAGATATGGTACTCTGTGGGAAATGGTCCCACTTTGCACAATAAAGCATGTCACCTAAGACTGGTTGTTGTGTTGTGCAAATCCAGTCACTGTTGTAAACATTTAATCTACTCAGGAAGAACTACACACTTGGTGATAGGCATTAGTGTAATGGCAGGAATGAACAATGGGCAAAATATTTCATCCATGTTCCTCACTAAGTGCACAAAACTGGCAAAATAGTATGGAAACAATGAAGATGCATAGGAACCACTTTCAGTGTTTGATGCCACTGAACAGAAAAATAACTGAGTATTGGGATAAACAGTTTATGCACAGTGAATTTACACTAATAACTGCAGTCTAGCACAAGTTATGAAGAAGAGCAGCTTCACTCATAGTATAAATGAAATAAATAAGTGAATATAAGTAAATAAATAGGCAGAGAACAGATGTGATGACCTGTTATGCCCACCTCTCCAGTATCCTCATGATTTTGCCCTTATTTTTTTCTCTCAGTTTGCCATCTAGCAGATTGAACAGTATAGCAATACTGGTAATGCATCCACTGTAGCCAGTCATTTTCTGGTTGCCTTTATTCTCAATACAGCACTTTCAGTTTTGCCTCATGAAGCAAAGTATGGGACAGAATTAGTTGATCACATAGCAAAAATATGGCCTCCATAATACATTAACTGAGATGGCAGTTTTGCAGGGACTGGGAGCCATCTGCAAGGGTGAGCAGTAGATAAGAAGAAGCACCATCTGAGCCCACTAACTTTCCCCTCCATTATGAGCATTCAGATATATGAAATGAACCCACCTCATTCCTCTAACATCTCCATCACCATCCATCTTATACTTTGGCATGACTTAGTTTTGCACACAAGAGAAGAAACTTGGAGGACTCCCAAGTCAGTCAGTAAGCAATAGCAGTTATACAGGGTCCCCTTTTGTGCTCTCTTACCTCTGGTAAATTAAACCTCAGGTGGTTACCCATGATGTTGAAGTTCTGGCCAGTTGTTTTGAACCCCTCAACATCTGTTGCCTGGAAGAGCCGAGGGTAGCCCAAGTGGACCATGTCACCACTTGGAAGGGCCACTGTGAGGTTGTGTTTCTCTGAGAAGCGGTAGAGGATGTTGAGGATAGTGCTGCTGGCAGTCTTGTGTGTCTTGAGGAACATGACATTTGTGACGGGTTGACAACGCTTGAAAGTAGGCCACTGCAACCTGCATTAATGTAAACTAGTTAATAAGGGAAAGTTGCTGATCTATCAAAAAAACCTTTCCTGTCTGGTTTGAGCAAACCCTACCATTACATGGAACTGATATGACTGCATCAGGTAGTGAAGCAGGAAGAGTAGAAAATCACAATATGTTTCCCCACCCTGCTAGGAAAACTTAAGTTGAAAAACAACAATCTGTTGCAGAATCCATAGGACAGAGTCATACAAATCTAAATTATAGACCAGTGGCCAACATCCCGTTTCTGGACAAGGTGTTAGAGCGAGTGGTGGCGGGACTCTTGGATGAAACTGATTATCTGGACCCATTTCAGTCCGGCTTCAGACCCGGGTATGGTACTGAATCTGCCTTGGTCGCCCTGTATGATGACCTGTGCAGGGAGAAGAACAGGGGGAGTGCGTCCCTGTTGGTTCTCCTGGACCTCTCAGCGGCTTTCGATACCATCGACCATGGTATCCTTCTGGATAGGCTTGCGGGACTGGGGGTCGGAGGCACCGCCTTGCGGTGGTTCCGCTCCTATCTCAACGACTGATTCCAAAAGGTGGTGCTGGGGGACTATGGCTCTGCGCCATGGCAGCTTTGCCATGGAGTACCGCAGGGGTCCATTTTGTCCCCTTTGCTGTTCAATATCTACATGAAACTGCTGGGAGAGGTCATCAGGAGGTGTGGGCTGCGGAACCATCAGTACGCTGATGATACCCAGCTCTACCTCTCGTTTTCCACCAATCCAGGTGAGGCAGTGGCTGTACTGAACCGGTGCCTGGCCGAGGTAATGGGCTGGATGAGGGCCAATAAACTGAAGCTCAATCCAGACAAGACAGAGGTCCTGTTGGTTGGCAGTTCGGCTTCGGAGAAGGTGAATTGAACCTTGTCCTGAACAGGGTTGCACTCCCTCCTAGGGACAAGGTCCGCAGCTTGGGAGTGCTCCTCGACCCGGAGCTTTCACTCGAAGCTCAGGTGACAACAGCGGCGAGGAGTGCTTTCCTCCAGCTTCGGCTGATTCATCAGCTGCGTCCCTACCTGGAGTACGACTGCCTTGCAACAGTGACTCATGCGCTGGTGACTTCCCGTCTTGACTTCTGTAACGCGCTCTACGTGGGGCTACCCTTGAAGACGGTCCGGATACTTCAATTGGTTCAGAATAGAGCTGCCAGGCTGCTGACGGGGACTGGACGTTATGTTCACATGACTCCAGTTCTCCGTCAGCTTCACTGGCTCCCCATTGAAGTTCAGGCCCAATTCAAGGTGTTGGTAATGACCTATAAAGCCCTAAATGGCTTGGGTCCTGGTTACCTGAAGGAGCGCTTACATCCATATATGCCCAGTTGCCCCCTGAGATCGGCGGGAGAGGCCCTTCTCCAGGAGCCCTCCGTGAGAGAAATTAGGAGGGTGGGTACTCGGAGGAGGGCTTTCTCAGCGGTGGCGCCTAAGTTATGGAATGCGCTCCCCAGAGAGGTCTGCTGGGCGCCATCGTTATTTGTTTTTCAGCGCCAGGCAAAGACCTTTTTATTTAAGCAACATTTTAAATGTTAATACTACTGAATTTTATCTGGCCAGGGCGGCTTATTTTATATTGTGTGTTTTAAATTATTATTACTATTTTATATGTATATTTTAATTTATGTGGTTTTATTTATTGTTGTAAGCTGCCCCGAGGCTTCGGCGAATGGGGCGGCATAAAAATGTTTTAATAAATAAATAAAATAAAATAAAATAAAATTGTCTGAATCTATTGTGGATTTCTTTGACATCCCTACTTGCAATCCAATTCACACTTACTTGGGAGGAAGGCCCAGTAAATCCAATGGGCTTTACTTCCAAATAAACGTGCTGGGAATGCAAACTGCTTTTTGATATATGTGTAGCCCAGTGGTGTGCCCAGGCATGAAGAGCCCTGGGAAAAGCCAACTTCTCTATTGTCAAGAGCCATTTGCAGGTAATGATCTACATAAACAGGTTAGCATATCTTTTTCATTACAATATTTTTGGAATACTACTAGAGGGCAGCACTCAATAGGGCATCACTGCTAACTGAAATTACAATTACCCTCACAGTAACTGCTTTAGCACAACATCAGTAACTTTAGTTAGCACAGCAATTTTTTTCATTTACTTACCTTTTGTTTTTAGTTTCCCACTAGATTTTACCCTAGTGCAGCATAATTTATATCTACCCTGGTGGATAATGTTCATAGCCTTTATTGGTTTGAAACTACTAAAAATATTCATAAAAATACCACTTCATCCCTTACATGTAATATTTTGGAGATGCTCAACCTCTAGTGTGGTACAAAGGGCATTCTGCACAATATGGGTTGAATTCAGATTTACACCGGAGCAACTGCCCCCTCTGCTTCTCACAGCAGTCTCTCCAGCCCCCCAAAAATGCTACACAGGGAGTCAGGGCACTCTGCTGTATGTAGTGAGCTATAAGATGGGTGTGGGAAAGAAGTAATCCCCCCAAATCAGGCAGAACTATCTCTTCTAACCAGAGCCTTTTCTCTCATGGAAGGTCTCATCCTCTTGTGAAAGGCAGATCTTGGATCCAACCAAGATCCAACCAGGATCTAAAGGAGTGTGTCCTTTAGATCCTATGTGCCTGCCCACCCCTTAAGATCTGGGGCAGAAGTCCTTCTTTGGGAAACCTCCTTGAAGGAGATTAGGAAGGTGGCTATCCAGAGAAGGACCTTCTCTGTGGTGCCACCCCAGTTATGGAACACGCTCCCCAGAGAGGTTCACCTGGCACCGACACTTTAAGCCAAATTTTTTTAATTTCCCAGTATTTTAAGGTTTGATCTTGATTTTAATGTGGGGTTTTATTGTATAGAAAACCTATGTGGATGCTATGCTTCACACTGTTTTATTGTAAGACTGTCCCAAGACCTTGGATGGTATATAACAGTTTTAAATAAATTAATTAAATAAACTAGGAGTTTCTTAATAGACTAGAGTAAACCTCAGCATTGGCAGTAAGGCACATTGTCTCTGTACAGCCAGTTCACTGAAATGTCAGTGTTTTGGACGAAGGGGTCCTAGCACCAATCATTAGATGGCACTGGGCAGTCAATTCTCTTTTCTTCTGTAACTGATGTTCCTTGGAACAGGCAGTGGAAAAACGGGGCTATGAATGAAAGATGAGCATCTGGAACTGCCCTGCTCCCCATGCCCAGTGTGTAAATGAGGTTGCATGATGATATAATAGACTTGTCTTGAAGCAACCGTATCCTGTCTACTAGAAACATCAAACCTTTTGTTTTCTACCTTAATAATTACATTTTATTAATGTCCACAATAACATAAATCAAACATAACAGAAACAGCAATCAGTTTCGTATTTTCTGTCAAGTGTTCTTCCTACTTCAGTTAAGACATGTTTTATAAGACATGTTTTGTAAAGAATTGTAAGTTGTTAAGCCTTGGAAAGATTTTGAAAACCTCTGCAGGAAGTACACACTCTTGAGGTACACATTTACCTCAAAGCAAGGAGGGTTTTATTTCTGAGTAGACATGTCAAGGACTGCACGGTTTGTAAACAGAGCAGTGCTAAGGAGGAGAGGCCCTGCCAAGGGGGTGCTCCAATCTCAGAGGCTCCGTCCTTTCCTAAGCCCTCTTTGGCTCTTGCCAGGAGGGCAGGGGGGATGGTGGTGGCTGGCTTTGACCTCTTTGACCTCAAAAGGAAATCAGGGTTGGATCAACCTCAAAACCCATTTAATTTTCTCTCTGTGCAAGGGGCTTTAAGGGGTGAAAGCACCTTTGGAGCTTCAGTTGTTCCTCCCCTACCCACCAGCATGACCCCAACACTTCCATTTCTTCCCATTTCTCCTCTTTAAATAGGAGGAAAGAACATTTTAAAAATCAAGAGTGCAATCCTATGGCCCCCAGACACCATCTCAGGGTCACAGGAGGCTGGGGATTTCCTCTGCTGGCCTCTAATGGAGAAATCTGAATCAGGATTCTGCCCTTCACTGGTGCCCCACTTGTGGTGGGAAGCTCCATTGCAGCTGCCTCTCCTGAGCTCTATCCTCAGGAAAAGGAAGAGGAAGGAACAGGGATGGGAACATACTGATGGTGCGGCTGGGCAGGGAGAGAAAAGAAAGAACAAAGGAACTTCCAATTTCAACCTCTAATAATCTTAATATGTGCTTTATGAACTGCCCAGAGAGTTTCGGCTGTTGGGAGGTACAGAAATTAAAATCATCATCAGAGGAAGAACCTTTTAAAGTTTTTGTATAACTGGCATTCAACTTATCTGGTATTGTGAAAGTATACTAGGAATATAATTGGCAGTTGGCAGAAATGCAAAAGTCCTAATAATCACTAGATTTTTATATGGTGAGAATACATTACAATTAAGAACTAAGGAAGGAGCTAGAGGGAAAATGACCCAAATAATCCCAATAACAATTTCTCAATTTCTAGTGCGTGTTGTTTTAAGTTGAAATATATAAAAGGATCTGTTCCAAAACAATATTGTGAAATTATGACTAACTTATTAAGTGCTGCCAGAGCAGAACTAACTAGTAAATAGGAAATAGTGGAAGGACCAAGCAGACAGTTAGATTGTACCCTAAAAGTCCATCGAGTCTACAGTTTTCTTTGCCAGACAACTGAACAACTCAAGATGCTTGTAAATTATTTCTATAATAGCAATTGTTCTCATTAGGGTAATCATTTCAGAAAATGAACTTACTTGACAGTCATTATATCACAGTGCTGAAAGAATCCTATGAAGGCAATTACTCCCAGCCAAATGATAAGACATATTACTTGTGAAAAATTCCTGGAAAAGAAGCAAGAAGCAAGCTCTCATTTTTAATGCAATAGTACTGGAATAATTTTTAGGATGTATTAATAGTGTAAGTTCATATGGATTTTCCAAAAGAATATTGAGACTGTAATTCATACACTTGCTCATCAACCAACATTATTAATATTTACTTATTAAATTCCTATCCAAACTTTTCACTAAAATAGTCTTCAAAGTTCTTAAAAGCAACACTGTCAATAGAATTCAATAATGCAATTAAGACAAAAGGCACATCAAGTTATTTATTTATTATTTATACATTTATTTATAAGCCGCCTACAACTGCTGAGGCCTTCCTAGGCAGCTTAGGCCTTCCTAAGGCAACAATGCACTTCAGTCCAATGTTCACAAGGACAAACAAATCAGAATCCAAATAAAGAAGTAGACAAAAAGCTGATTTTTTAAAAAGGCCACTTCAGAAACTGGAGGAAGTTCATTTCAGATCATTAGGACACTCTGCAGCTGAGCTCAAAATCACACAGCTGAACTGGCAGGCAGATTTCTGTTTGATGGTTGTTACTTCACATTACTAAAACCCCATGATACATCAGATGGAGCCAGACACACAAGACACATACTTGCAATTTTAAAATTCTGAATCCAGGAATTTGGGGGTAGGTTGGGGGATGGGGAAGTACCAGGACTGATTAGAGCACACTGTCTTCATGGTTATCCCTCCCTTCAAGCTTTCTTTATTTCACAAGATGATTTGTGATGGGCTCTTTGTGTGTGTGTGTGTGTGTGTGTGTGTGTGTGTGTGTGTGTGTGTGTGAGAGAGAGAGAGAGAGAGAGAGAGAGAGAGAGAGAGAGAGAGAGAGAGAGAGAGAGATTTCTTTGACTGTAGTGAAATAAATGAGTATAAGAAATCCATTCTGATCTACTACGTATTATGCAGAGATCTTCTAGTAGATACCAAACTAACAATTGGCCACTGTTGCTGCATATCACACATGAGAACTTGCATGTGCACCGATAAGCAAAAATAATTTTTCTAAAGGCGTGATTTGAGTGAAACAAATTTTTGCTGTACTTAATCACCAAATGAAAAATAGCAACTTCTAAACTGGTTGGGGTGGAAATAATTCAAAGAAACATTCAACTCTGAAATTACAGTCACTGGGTTCAGAGACAATACAATATGCCACAATCACCAAATGTGGGCTGTCATTGACTCATGGATCTTGTTGAAACATGGATTATAATGTAAGAAAACTAAGATCATGGCATCCGGTTCTCTCACTTCCTGGCAGATAGATGGGGAAGAAATGGAGGTAGTGACAGATTTTATTTTCCTGGGCTCCAAGATTAGTGCAGACGGGGACTGCAGCCAAGAAATTAAGACACTTGCTCCTGGGGAGAAAAGCTATGGCAAATGTAGACAGCATACTAAAAAGCAGAGACATCACCCTGCGAACAAAAGTGCGTATAGTCAAGGCTATGGTTTTCCCAGTTGCAATGTATGGCTGTGAAAGTTGGACCATAAGGAAGGCTGAGTGCCGAAGAATTGAGGCCTTTGAATTGCAGTGCTGAAGGAGACTCCTGAGAGTCCCCTGGACCGCAAGGTGATCAAACCAGTCAGTCCTAGAGATCAACCCTCACTGCTCTTTAGAAGGCCAGATACTGAAGATGAAACGCAAATACTTCGGCCACCTAATGAGAAGGAAGGACTCCCTGGAGAAGAGCCTAATGCTGGGAACAACAGATGGCAAAAGAAGAATGGGATGGCAGAGAATAAGGTGGCTAGATGGAGTCACAGAAGCAGTCGGTGTGAGCTTAAGTAGACTCCGGGGGATGGTGGAGGACAGGAAGGTCTGGAGGAATGTTGTCCATGGGGTTGCGATGGGTCGGACACGACTAACAACAACAACTGAACTCAGGCAAGATATAAAACCACAATGATCAATCTACCATTCACAGTGCTCATGGTTAACAAGCTATGTTAGCCCAGCTGAGTTTAGACAACACAATAAAGTATGGTTGAATGACAAGCCACACTTAACCCATATTCAAGTTTTCCCAGGTGCTCTAACAGCCTGATCTAGCATGGGAGTGGCAATGCTTCAGGACTAGGCTATATTTTGAATCAAAGCTCTGGATTATCCTATTTAGTTAGTTAAATTTCATAGTGCCTAATAGCAGAAGCTACTTTGAGCATTGGTATTTGTGTCAGGAGGCCACTTGCGTGCTTCTGTAGTTCCAGCGGAGCAACTCCCTTTAATCAAGTTAGAGGAGGAAGCACATATACAATTATTCCGAGCCTGCTGTAACTGTCTGGCATAGTCTTCTCATTATCTGGCAGTCTTCCACACCTCTGGCTGTTGCTGTACCAGAATAAAAAGGATTCTTCAACCAAAGTGTCAGGGTAATGTCAAAGAAAACAAAGCACAACTACACATGTGCAGAATGTCTGAATTTCTGGTATAACACCATCTTTGAACTAGAACTCATCAGTAAGTTTGATTTTATTAATTTAGGCCTTAAAGTGACACAATGGGAGTAGAGTGTAACAAGACAGAGACTTCACAGGCAGCAGCTTGGGACTGTACGTCTTTGTGCTGCATCTTGTTGGTTCCTGATGAGTCCAACTATTTCACAGTGCTGAATAGACTCCCACCTGTCTCTTAGGACAGGAATCATGGAATGGTAGAGTTGGAAGGGGCCAGGAAGGCCATTAGGTCCAACCCCCTGCTGTTGCAGGTCACCAATTTACACCATCTTATTCCCAGTTTACATTACCCCATTTCCCAGTTTACCCAATTTACACCATCCCAGGACAAGTGCCCCATGATATCTTATCTAAATCAACTAAAAGTAGGAAGATGAAACAAGTATCAGGAGGCTCCACAGTATGCTGCTGAATTGGACTCACAGAATGCTTGTTAATTGGGAGAGGTAATGAATGAGGTACCCCAAGGTTTGGTCTGGGGCCCAGTGCTCTTCAAAAATTTTATTAATGATCTGGTTGAGGGGGTGAAGGGAATGCTTATCAAATTTTCAGGTTACACAAAACTGGGTGGGATACCAATACTCTGGAAGACAGAAACAAAATTCAAAGCAGTATTCTGAGAAGCTAGGCTGAAAACAACAGAATGAGATTTAGTAGTGATAAATGCAAAGCTCTACTCCTAAGAAAAAGAAACTAAATGCATCCTTACAAGATGGGGATACTTGGTTGAACAATACTACAAGCAAGAAGGATCTTGGAATTGCTGCAGATCACAAGCTGTATATTAGTCGGCAATCTAATGAAGCTACAAAATAGGCAAATGCTATACCAGACCACATTAATAGAAGTACAAATCATGTGAAGTACTAGTTCCCCTCTACTCAGCACCGGTTGGGCCTCATCTGGAGTCCTGTGTCCAGTTCTGGGCACCACAGTTGAAGAAAGATGCAGACAAACTGGAAAGGGTTCAGAGGAAGGTGACAAGAATGATCCCAGGACTGGAAGCAAAGCCCTGTGAGAAGAGATTGAAAGAACTGGGCATGTGTAGCCTTGAGAAGACTGAGAGGAGGTATGATAGCACTTTTCAGACACTTGAAAGTAAGTTGCAGAGAGGAGAACCTAGAACTTTTTTCTCACGACATGGAATAATGGGTTCAAGTTCCACAAGGCCAGGTTACAGATGAAAATCAGGAAAAGCTCCCTGTTAGGGCAATACAAGCATGGAATTGTTTTCCTAGGGAAGTTGTGGGTTCTCTCACAGTGGAGACATTCAGGATGCAGCGGGGCAGCCATCTGCTGTTAGGGATGCTTTAACTTGGGAGTCCTGCATTGAGCAGGGGGTTGGACTTGATGGCCTTATTGGCCTCCCAACTCTGCTACAATTCTAGGTTCTAAAAGGGACCTGATTAATACAGTGATGAATTTTCTGGAAGCCTCTCTGGTATGGCAACTATTTACATGAGTCTTGGAATATTTGTACTGTTGCTCGGTCTGCTTATAAGTCAAGCATGGTTGTGTTATGTCAACAAGGCTGCCTTCCAATTTAAAAAGAAAATCCCCCAATGAATCGATTTCTAGTGTCCTTGTAAAAAAGGAATTTATGTGAGAGAGAAAAACACAACATGAATCTGCCTTTATTCCAGCTGTAAAATGTACATATTTCTGTAGAGGTTATTCATTTCACTCAGCTTCGTGAGAGTAAAACAACTAATCTATGAGGGAGTTTTTAAAGCTTCACCGGGCATTTCTCAGAGGTATAAAGCTCTTGTTTCTCATTGCTGAAAAAGGCATTCTGTGCAGCATGGAAACTTGAGCACAGTTATTCTAAATGTGCCCAAAGGTCTTGAAGCAAGAGAATTTGTTGTACCTTAAGAACTATGAGAAAGAAACCTGGAAATTAAGCTGATTCCAAAGCATTCAGTTGCAGGATAAAGCTAAACCAAAGCAATCCCAAGTTATCCTGTGGGGTGAAGACAAGGTTTTTGTAAAGAATTCCACTTGGAAAGTAATACATTTCTGTTCTAGTCAATTTGAGTATAAGATGGAAAAGACCTTAAGGGTCCCCTGAGTGCCATGCTTTAGGAGTGAAATGGACTAGAACAAAAGCTGCTTTCCAAGATCTTGCTGTGGATAAATATTCCAAGTTTGATAGCATCAATGCAGAATGTGCCAGATATTATCAAGACAAATGCCATGAAAAATAGCTGTTGCAAACTTGTTGCCATAATTAGTGCACTTCAAAGATATCCTTATTCTGCTTGCTTGTTCCCATATAGCAGACTTCCCTCCAGGTGGACAACAACTTCCATTAACCCCATCACAATAATGAGTACTTTGTCATTCACTGTGCTTCTCCACCTTGTCCCTTTTCTTTCTGGAGATTGCTTTCATGATCTTGGAGCTGACAGATGGTGATGGTCCATGCAGTACATTGGAGGGGCTGTCACT